GAGAAGGTGGAAACTTTAGGAGGTAGATCCTTGTGTAAGGACCATTAGGTCACTGAGGCATGTACTTGAAGGAGATATTGGACCCTGGCCCTCATGTCTCTCATTGCTTCCCATCCACCATGAGGTGAGCAGCTCTTCCACTAAATGCTCTCACTATGGTACACAGTGCTGCCACAGGCCCAAAGCAACAGGGCCAAGCAACCATTGACCGAAGCTTCTGAAATCATGAGCCCAACATAAACCTTTCCTGTTTATAGGTTATCTTCTCAGGTACTTTGTCACAGTGACCAAAAGCTGACTAACAATGTCCTTGGGAAATTTGCTGTTTAAACAGGAGTTATTGACCAGATTCAATTCATCTCAGCAGACATTCATGAACATAGCAGTGATGACTTAAAAACATGGACTTTACAGGCCAGCCCGGTTTCCAATCCCAGCTCCAAAATTGACTGCCTATGGAAACTTGGACAACTTATTTCTCCTCTCTGATTAGTTTCGGTGGTGGATTGACTAATGGTCAACTTGTAACACCCAGCTGAACTGAATCACCGTGGTCTGGGCATGAAAGATCCACCTGAAGATTGTTACAAATAGCCATAAAAAGAGAAATGGAGGGGAAGATCTTGGCTGGTTGATTTGCTAGGAGAAGCTTGCTGCAGATGGTTTTCCTGATGCAAACTAGGATATTCTCTTAGGAGGAGGAGGAGCTCAGGACCTTGCTGTCACTGGAAATGGCTGCTATTTTCATCAGGGGAGCTCTGATCTTCATGAGCATCACTTCCTGGCTCCAATGTGGATCCCTCAGCTTGGTGGCACAAATCCTTCATCTCACCAGTGTAGATTTTCTGGCTTCCACCTGTGGCCTTTGGGCCTTCCGGGTGCAGATCCTCAATATGGACAAGCATGAGACATTGCTGTGGGCTCTGGGCCACTGGCTGGACTCAAAGACATTGCCTTGGACTCTAGGCCTTTAGCAGGACTTGTGTGGGAAACTGCTGGGATCTAGGCCCTCAGTTGAATCCTTTAGGCTTCTAGTGTGTGATTAATCTCTTGCACTCCTTTGCATTTAAATCTTTGGGTAATTATCATAAAATAACCTTATAAGTTATGTGTCCTGTATTTAATGTATTCCCTTGCCCAATCCTGCTGATTACAACAGTATCCTTATCTGGAAACTGGAGATAATAATAGAGTTCATGTGAGAATTCAACCAGCATCTGATGGCCAGAAGTGTACGTCATTATTTGGCCATCACTGCTCTTCTCTTAAGAAATTTACAATTTAGTTTGGAGTAGTAGGCAGGATAAAAGCACAATTCATTATGATGTCTCTTTTCTGTAAATCTGATTAATTTGCTTTGTTTTTTAAGCTGGACATAGATTACACATACACTCATCCCTCTGTATCAAAGGAAGATTTGTTCTAGGCCCCTCCGTTTGGGTACCAGAAGCCTCAGATGCTCGAGTTCCTTATATAAAGCAGGGTAATATTTGCACATAACCCATGAATATTCAGACACCTGAAATAATCTCTGGATTACTTAGCAAATGCAAGGTAAATACCATGTAAATAACTGCTATACTGTGTTACTGAAGGAATAACAAGGAAAAACATCTGTGCATGTTTACTACAGATGCAATTTTTTTGAGTATATGTAATGGAATAAGTATTTGTTGACACACTCTGCAAAGTGCTTTGCCTGATTGGTTAATCCTCATAAAACTCTGAGCTGGATACCATTGTCCTTATTTTTCAGATGAGAAAACTAAGGCTAAGAAGGGGAAATTAACTTCTTCACACAGCAGATCAAATACTTGAGTTCATCTCAGTTCAATTCTTAGACCCTTTTGCTACACCAGGAAGCAAGCAGAAAGAATCAGAGACACTGTTTTCACTGTTTCATCCTGCAGTGCAAACTCCATTCACCTTCAGAATAAAGCATTTCCCTGCCAGCATTCCTCACACCCCACCCAGATGACTCACCAAAAATTGAAAGGCAATGTCATCAGAAAAAGTCACAGAAATACTCAGGAGTTTTTCAAACCTCCCAGGCAAAGAGACCTAGCTCTGGAGGATTAGGTAAATTTTTAGCTAATTTGGGATGCGTAGTTGCAAGGATTCACAGGAACCTGTTGATTCTTTGATGTTTATTATGTACTTAATGGGCTCCCAAGAAACTCCTGGAGTTCTGTGTCTTAGAGCTAGAGAAGGAGTCTGGGGCTAATCCATACATTATGGAATGCTAAGCTTGCCCACCAGGAAGATGCCATGCAGATTTGTTTGTTTCTGTTTTTGTTTCCTCATTGGGTATTTAGCAGTGGGTAAGAGTTTGTTTCTTTGTTTTGTTTTTTGAGTTTTTGTTTATTTAAGTTTTAGGTTTTATTTAGAGGAGATAGTTTGGTTTTTGTTTTTTTAAGACAAGGTCTCACTGTGTAGCTCAGGCTGGCCCCAGACATGGGATCCTCCTGCCTCAGGCTTCTGAGTTCTGGGATTACAGGCATGTATTACCATGCACATCTGGGCAAGAGTTTTGAAATTTTGGACCATACTGGCTCAGAAGGTCCCATTACTCAGAGGCATTCCAGAGAGCTCTGGGGAAGAGAGACTGCTCTGGGACCTAAAGACACTTGGAGATAGAGTTGGATAATATCCAAGGTCATACTACTGATCTCTTCTTATTTTTGGATGCCATGACCAAGGGGTGTTTAGGAATGTGTTAATAATTCCCCCAGAGAAATCGGCCTGGATTACCTAGTCATGACTAATGAAGCTGTCATCTGCGATTCCTTCCAGCTAATTAGCAGTGCCTTCCAAAGAGTGCTTTATGAAGATGGATAACATTATAACCCTGCACCCAAGAACCTGGCACAATGTCAATGAAAGTTCTGCATGTTATTCTATTGTTCATTATACTTCACAATCACTTGTTATTAAACAAAAATGAATTTGCCATTAGGGACGAGATATTATTTAATAACTGCTCAGCAATGTTTCATGATTAAATTTCTTTTTCCTTTGCCACCAGCTCAGCAGCCATATGAGAAAATGCCATTCTGGATTAGGTGAGGTTGGATTTTCTAGAACAATCTCAAATGTTTCATGGAACTTCATCATTAACACTTGATGTGGTTTGAAGCTTGATTTGCAAAATTCTGACTTTTGATTGAGCATTTTAAAAATACAAACAGTAAGTAAGGTAAATATCTCTTCAAGTGTAATCCCCAGAATTGACATGGAGTGGGGATAAGAGAGATGTTATAAACAGGCACAGTGGCCTATCAGGGTAGGAGACTTATGAACAACAGACTCTTTAGCAGCCTCTCCAAGAGTACAACATCAGTATTATTTTGTATACCAAATACTCCCCTCCCCCAGGCTTCAGTGGCTTAAAATGATAAAGATTTGTTTCTTTTTTGTGCTGTACATCCATTGCTTGTCATGGGTGATCTTGTAAGTCAGGATAATCAAGCACCCACTCACTATCTGAAATGGAGATGGAGGACAAAAATGAGCTCTGGAGCTGGGTGTGGTGGTATATGCCTGCAATCCTAGCACTTGGGAGGCTGAGACAGGAGGAATGCCATGAGTTCAAGGTCAGCCTGGGCTACACAGTGAGTTCAATGCCAGCTTGAACAACATAGCGAGAGACCCTGTCTCAAAAATTTAAAAATGAGCTCTGAAAAGTCTCAAATAAACAATTAAAATCTTGATTTGAACTGGTCACATGACTCAAACCACAAGAAGTAGAAGTGGGCTTTTTATTACTGCTTTTCATTATAACTTTTCATTACTGTAACAAATCCCTGTGCTAGACCACCTTCTAAAAAGAAAGGTTTATTCTGATTCATGGTTTTGGAGGTTCCAGTCCATAGTAGATTGGTCCTGTTGCTTGGGATCTGTAATAGCACAATTAGGCAGGCATGTAGGGGAGCAAACTGTTCACTTCATGGCCTGATATGGAAGAGAGGAAAAGGAAAGGCTGGGGTCCCACTATCCCCTTCAAGTGCAGGCCCCCATGACCAAAAGACCCCTGATGCGGCCCCATCTCTTAAGTCCCCACCAGTGTGGTGCCATGCTGGGGACCAGCCTTTACAATATGGGCCTTTCAGGGTGCTTAAGATCCACACTATTCAGGGACTAAGAATTACAAATTTACTATGTACTCAAAAGGCAAAAGCAGAGCATCTGGTGATCAGACCTAATGAGTGCTGATGCAAAATCCAAATGAGAAATTCATTTCAAGTCCAAAGGTTCAAAAGAGCCTCTTGCACATAGGGAGAAACCTCCCTTCACTTCTCCCCATCACAGTTTTCACTGTGCCTGCAGAGATCCGGGCAACAATGCCATGACTGTGAAGGCAGGCACTGGGTGACAGGACAGACCTACAATCCCTTCTCCTACCTCACCAAGGGGGAGCCAGGAATTGTGGACACTATATGATCTGAACCTTTAATTCATTTCAATTAGGTTATATTCTTAAACTGGGGAGTTTATAAATTACACTTATCACTAGAGCACAAATACATTAGGTAATTAATAATCCTCCCTATCACCTATACAAATAACAAGTAAACTTTGAATTTCTGCTCTTTAACATAAAATGTCTTAGCATTTTTTAAACAAACTATCAGGATTGAATTACTACAGTAAGTATTTTGTCCTCTTCCAAAATGGAGACCTCGTCATTTATATATAACTTTTTTCTAGCAGCCTTAGCAACTAGATGGTGAACTCAAAAGAAGTGGTATAGGCTTGTCACTTGTGGCTTGTTGCTTGCTTTGCTACCTGTTGCCTGCCATGAGCTGTTTCTCCTCTGTGATGCCTGTGTGTCATGCCACCCTGCCTTAGAGCCAGCTGATTATGGACTGAAACCTCTACAAACTGGAATAATGAAGTTTTCTACTTAAATTTACTGCAAATTAGAAAACAAAATTGTTTGATAAGACACAAAACATTCTGGAAAGACAAACAAACTTTGAAAAACTCTTTGAGCTATTTACTGTTTTAAAGAACGGGAATGTTGGCAGAGAACTGCAGCAGATCTTTGGCACACTGTCTTCTCTCTTCTATGACAGTTTCATCAAATCATCCTGGAATTAAATGCAAATCAACACTTACACAGAGAATGATCAAATGCTTTACATCCAGAGATGGGAAAGCAGCTCAGGCCAACAACTGCCTGTGCTGTGCTTATTATGCAAACTTTAAAGTCACATCTAGGCTCTATCACAATTAGAATCAGCAACGAAATAAAATAATGTTTCTGAGAAACAAGAAGTAGAGGTGTCCACTCACAAATAAACATGGCTAAAGAGAAGAAATTATGAGAACATCTGTACTGAGGGTGGGGCAAAAACTTCAGCCTGAAGCAAACAACTTTCCTGCTGACTTCCACAAGCGATGCTGCTGGTGTCCATGACAGCAGCTTGTGAGAAGACAGAGGACACAGCACCAGCATGTTCTGCTCTGCAAGGTGAGGGAAAGGTGGTTTGCATAAATTTTTTTCATGATACACAGAATCTGAATGCTGATAAGACATTTTCATATATGAACAGTTTGTACAACTCAGGTAAGATCATCAGTTGGCACATGTCACATGCTGAATGCAATGTAAATTTTTAAAAGAACAGAACCAAAAGGTAACATCATCACATACTTAAAAATTTTAAGTGGCTCTGCAAAGTACTAAGACAAAACTAAGGCACAAAGAACTTCCTATTACATAAACCAAGGCAAGAATTTGAAACTGAACAACTAAAATACCCTCTCCTCAATGTACCTCCTGGTCCTGGCAGTGTTTATTTCATCAAACTTTCAAAAGGCACTAGACTCAGGTCCAGGTTCAAACACAAGTTCTACCACTCACTAGCTGCAGAATCTTAGGCAGACTGTTTCCTCGCTGTAAAATGGAGAAAATGAAGGATGTACTTAGGATCCCCATTCCATGTCAGCCACTCAGTCAATGCTTAACAGAGTATCATGGTGACTTTGAATTTCCAAGAGCTTCCCAAGCAACTAACAAATGGAGTATGCTAGCAAACATTTGTTGAGTACAAGAATAAATAACAAAAACTTCCAAAAACATGTCTTACAGTGAAACTTTCTAAAGAAAAATCTTTTTGTGCATGTGTGTGTGATATTGAGCAAAAGTTTTTCTCAGAAGGAAATTTATCTTTATATCTTTTAATTTTTTATTTTAATGTAATACAAGTAGATATTAATAAAGGAAATATAAAAACACTTCTATGAAAAAATAAAATTTTATTAAAAAATAGAGAATAACAATAATAAATACACTGTGTATCATGATCATAACAGAATATATTTTAAATTGTTAATTTATCAACTCATCTCCTAAAAAACTATACCTTTTTGCATAAAACATTTAAATTATTATCAAAGTATCTGACACTTAGTATTATTTTGAACAATATCTTTCTATTTCACAATATCTATTATACATTTTTGTCCTTATTTACACTTTTTGTTTTTCACACCAGAGAAACAATATGATATTTACACATGTATGATTTATTTCACTTAAGAGTATGGTCTCAAGGTGCATCCATTTATCCTCAATTTTATCCTTCTTTATGCCTGAGTAGTAGTTCATTATATTAAAAAAATATTTTTTTATCTGTTTATTGCTGATGGGCATTTGGGTTGTTGCCAAGCTTTGGCTATTACAAACTGTGCTGCTATAAACATAGGTGTGCATATATCACTGTGGTATGATACTTTTAATTCTTTTGGGAAGATACCCACGAAGAGAATAGCTGGGTCAAATAGAACCTCTAATCCTAGTTTTTTGAGGAATCTCCACACTGATTTCCATACTGATTGCACCAGTCTACATTCCCACCAGCAGTGGAGAAGGGTTCCCTTTTCCCCCACACGCCCACCAGCATTTATTATTGGTTAATTTCATCATAAAAGCCATTCTTTCTGATGTGAGATGGCATCTCAGCATTGTTTTAATTTGTATCTATTGAATGACCAGTGAAGTTGAACATTTTTTCATATTTTTTTTGCTGTTTCTACTTCTTCATCTGGGAAATGTGTATTCATCTCAGAAGCCTATTTTTGGACTGGGTCTTTAAATTTGGGGGTCTGATTTATTTTAGTTCTTTATATGTTCTAGATATTAGTCCTTTGTCTGAAAAACAGCTGGCAAAAAATTTTCCCACTCTGGTTTGTCTTTTTACTTTGTTGATTTCTTTTGCTGTGCAAAAGCTTTTTAATAAGATGAGATCTCAGTTGTTGATTTTTTGTGATATTTCCCATGTGATCAGGATTTTGTTTATGAAGTCTTTGCCCACATCTGTGTCCTCAAGAGTTCTACCTATTCTCTCTTTCAGTAGATTTAGTGTTTCTGTTTTAACATTTATATCTTTGATCCATTTGTATTTTAGTTTAGTGGATGGTGAGAGACATGGGTCTAGTTTTAGTCTTTAGCATGTAGAAAGACAGTTTTTCTAGCACCATTAAAAGAAACTATCTTCCCCAGCTATCCCCCTGCTGGGTATCTTCCCAAAAGAATTAAAAGAATCATACCACAGAGATATATTTCCACCCATGTTTATAGCGGCACAGTTCATAATAGCGAAAGTTTGGAAACAGCCCAAGTGCCCATCAACTGGAGCCTGGATAAAGAAGATGTGTTTTTTTTATAAAATGGAGTACTACTCAGCGATAAAGAATGAGAAACTAGAGACATTTATAGCTAAATGGATGAATATTGAGGCCATCCTCTTAAGTGAAATAAATAGGACACATATGTGTAAATACAGAATAGTTTCTCTAGTGTGAGAAACTGAAAGTGTAAATAAGGATACACATGGATGAAATTGCCTAATAACATTTCTCGGATTGTGTTTCCATTGAGTGTCATATGATTGTAACAAAATTTAAATTAGGGAGAAGTTTGGCTTATGTGGAGTCTGCTAACTAACTGGAGTTTTTTTCCAGACCACTATTTGTTCGATGTTGGTTTGGGGGATCTTTCTGAAACAAATCACATCCTCTGGTGTCTTGCGGGTGCTTGAGATGCTTTTTTAAGTTATATGGAAAAATGTTTAAGTGCTTTTCAATTCTGTTTTGGTTGAGTTCTACTGTATTTGAATATTATTGTTGTTTTTTCCCCTTGCATTGTTCTTCTTTGAATGGTTTTAATTTTTGTATGTGTGTGTGTTTGATAATAAAGTTATTTTTAAAAATTTTAAATAAAAGAAACTGTCTTCTTCCAGTGAAGGTATTTGGCTCCTTTGTCAAAGATAAGGTGGCTGGTGTGTTTTGGGTTGTTTCTGAATCTTCTAATCTGTTCCATTGATCCTCGCGTCTGTTTTTGATAGTATCATGCTGTTTTTAATCATAGTAGCTCTGTAGTATAATTTCAAGTCAGGGACTGTGATGTCCCCTGCCTTGCCTTTGTTGCCCAGAATTGTTTTTGTTATTCTAGGTCTCTTCTGGTTTCAAAGGAATTTTAAGAATGTTTTCTGTAGTTCTGTGAGGTGTGCTACTGGTATTTTGAATGAATGAAGCTAATTTTTTTTTTTTTTTTTGGTGCCAGGGATCAAACTCAGGACCTTGCGCTTGCGCGGCAGGCACCAAAAACACTGAGCTAAATCCCCGGCCCCTGCTAATGGTATTTTGATTGGGATTGCATTAAATCTGTATATCAATTTTGGGAGTGTGGCCATTTTCACTATGTTGGTTCTTCTTATCCAAGAGCAAGAGATATCTTTCCATTTTCTGATATCTCCTTTGATTTCCTTTTCCAGAGTACTGTAACTTTCAGTGTAAAGATCATTTACTTCCTTTGTTAGATGGATTCCTAAGTAGTTCATTTTTGGGGATCCTATTGTGAAAGAAGTTATCTCCCTAATTTCTCTCTCAGTGAGTTTGTTATTTGTGTACAGGAATGCTAGTGATTTTTGAGTGTTCACTTTGTATCCATCTGTGCTATACTGAATTTGGTTATTACATCTTGAAGTCTTTTGGTAGATTCTTCTCTGGATTTTGTATTAGGATAACATTTGCTTCCAGGAATGATTTTGGGAGTATTGCTTCCCCTTCAATTTCATTAAAGACTTTGATGAGTAGTGGCATAAAATCTTCTCTAAATTTCTTATAGAATTCAGCAGTGAAACCATCAGGACCTGGGCTTTTCTTTGTTGATGTTTTTAATTACATTTTCAATTTCATTGACTGATATTGCTTTATTTAGAAATTTATGTCTTCTTGATTCAGCTTTGGTAATTCATATGTATCTAAGAATTTGTCCATTTCTTGTGTGTTTTCCATCTTATTAGAGTACAGTCTTTGGAAGTAGGTATTGATTTCATTCCTAAATGCATGGATTTGAGTCTTTTCTTTGCTTTTTATTGATAAAGTTGGCTAAGGGTTTATTTAATCTTTCAAAGAACCAACTCTTCAATTCAATGATTCTTTGTATTGTTTTCTCAGTCTCAATTGCATTAATTTCTGGTCTGATCTTTATAATTTCCTCACTCATATAAGCTTTGGGCTTGACTTCTTTTTCTAGACATTTGAGGTTCAACATTAGGTTGGGATTTTTTTTAGCTTGTTCTGTTTTCCTGATGTGAGAATTCACTGCTATAAATTCCCCTCTTAGGACTGCTTTCATGAACTTTCGTATGTTCTGGTATGTTGAATCAGGATTATCATTTAATTGTAGATATAGTCTATTTCTCCTTTAATTTCATCTGTGACTCATTGGTTGTTCATGGAGGTGTAATTTAATTTCCATGTGTTTATGGACTTTTTGAGGTTTCTTTTGCCATTGATTTCTAATTTCATTGCACTATGGTCAGATAATATGCACGGGAGACTTTCAATTCATTTGCATTTACTTAAGCATGTTCTATGGGCTAGTATGTGGTCTGTTTTGGAGAATGTCCCATGTGCAGCTGAGAGGAATGTCCATTCATATGTTGTGGGGTGGAATACTGTGTAGACATCCACTAAGTCCATTTGTTCACAGGTTTGGTTCAGTTCTGATATTTCTTTGTTGATTTTTTAATCTAGTTGATCTGTCTATTTGTGACAGTGGATATTGAGGTCCCCATTAGAATTGTATTAGTGCTTATTAGATTTTTCATGTCCATTAATATTTTTATATATTTAGGTGCACTGGTATTTGGTGCATATACATTTATGATTGTTATCTCTTCTTCTTGGAATTTTCCTTTTACAAGGATGTAGAGGCCTTCTTCATCTCTTTTGATCAGTCTTGGCTTGAAGTTCATATTGTCTATAAATAGAATAGCTACCCCTGCTTTTTTCTGGATTCCTATTGCATGGAGTATTGTTTTTCATCCTTTGACTTTCATTCTATGAATTTCTTTTTGAGCTATATGTGTTTCTTATATGAAACATATTGTTGGATCCTTTTTCTTTTTCTTTTTTTCTTTTTTTTGATGCCAGGGATCCAACTCAGGACCTTGCGCTTGCAAGGCAGGTGCTGGTAACACTGAGCTAAATCCCCAGCTCTGGATCTTATTTCTTGATCCATTCTGCCAGTCTGTTTCTTTTGATTGGTGCATTGAAACCATTTACATTGATTGTTATAACTAATATGTATTGGCTTATCCTTGCCATATTATTTTCCTGTCATCGGTTCCCTGTCTTTCCCCTCTGTTTAATTGCTTGCCCTGCCTGGTGGCTTCTTCTATTGGTATTCTTGGAATTGTGAGGGAAATCTTAAAAGTGGGTACATACACAAAAAAAATCCCTCAGGCTTGGCATAAAAGTAGAAAGGTGACTGTTATTAGTCAAGAGGAAGGGAATAAGTGTAGGATAGAGAGGAATTTAAGGAAAGGAGAAAAGAGCAAAGGATATGATTATAATATGTTATCTGCAAGTATGACAATATCACATTGAAATTCAATACTCTAAAAAATTAACAGGCATTAATAAATATATTTTTAAAAATAAAATGTGAGAAAAAGAAAGGAAGTAGCGCAGGTAGAAATGATTAAAGTATGATATATACATATGTGGCAATGTCATAGTGAAAACCATTAATTTGTACAATTAATATGAATTTATTTTTATAATAAAAAGCTTTAAGAACAAAAAACACCCAAAAAATTAAATCCTAGGCCATGATACATGGATAGGTTTCAGAGACAACAATGCTACAGAATTCCACACATGTAAGCACAGATTCATTTTTCTAGAGAAGTGTCTGTAGCATTTTTTTAATCTTCAAAGAGCCCAGGGTATGCTAAGGGTATCAGGTAAATAGAAGTCAGTTAGAGGATTCCTAATATCCAATATTCTGCTTTTACTATGGAACAGGCTGCCAGCTGGTATCCAAATTCCTATTCTTACTTTGTTCCTTAGCAAAATTATCTTCAGTTTTTAACTGGATACATGGTAGTCTAGATAAAAAAGACAGCAATTCTTACACTGCCTTGAAGTTAGGTATCAACATGGACCAAGCTCAGGTCAGTAGCATACAAACAAAAGTTCAAATGTAGCTTCCCAGAAATCTCCTTTAAGGGCAGCTGATATACACCTTCTCCAGACTTCTCCTTACTGTCCATTCCTTCCTCCTTCCAAAAAGGACCTGAAATGGATGATTAAAAGGGGCAGAGCCATACAGCAGGAGTTGGGACTCCTGATCACCCTGAAGCTGCTACGCTGAAGCCCCTCCAGAGCTTTGACCATGGAAAGAAATGGATTTCTATTTTGTCTTAAATTTTGCCACAAGAAACCAAGCCTAGTATCATCCATTATGCTAAATCAGCTCTCCTATTAGTTCTCAGCTTATATGCAACAGTTAAACTCCATCCTCCCAATATCATATTTAAATTGACACTACTAGCTTACTAACGTTACCTACCTAATATTATCTGGAAACAAACTTCCAAGAATGACAAAAAATGGAGCAAACTTCTTGGCCTGAAAACAATCTGAATTATTCAATCTTGGGGAAAATCTACCAGCCAAACAGGTGAAATGCTCACTAGTCCTCCTGTTGTCTAAAAGTATGAACCTGTGTTTATGATTATGTCCAATGTAATTATACTTTTAAAAAATAGTTAATTCTAGTGCCCGTGAATTAATATCATTAATCATTAATATTAATTAAACTACACCTAGTTTTTAACATCAACATCTGGATATTTGAAACAGATATCCAGAAAAATACAAATTTTTTTTTATACTGCATCCCACAAAACCATTTCACATCATCTTTAAACACATTAACTACTTGTTGAGACATTTTAATGGGATACTTCTTAATAATTAATTACACCTAAAAAGATTTCTGTCTGAAACAAGTATATAAAAATTTGGGGCTTTAATCCTAATGTAATTCATCTCTTCTCCATTCAGCTAGACTAAATGCTTAAGCAATGGAATATAAGCTCATATATTATTGTAAACACTCATCTTTGTTGTAATTCTATTGATCTATGCACTTCTATTCCACTAAACTTGGACAAGCAGAGATGAATAGAACAAAAAATAATGACAGCATTAAAATGTTCAATTACATCGAATCCTTTCAGAACAAACATGATGAAAAAATAGTCTACTTCTTTGTACTATACTTTCTTAAAAGATTTGACAGAAAAAAGTAGTATCAGTAGTATAAACAAAGAGATGGAAATGAATTTTAATGTAATAACTACTGGCCTTTATGTGAACATAAAACAACACCACCTAGTTTTAAAATTTTCTTTAAAAAGATCAATATTCACAGTTATCCTAATCACAAACAATGCCCTTGTAACTCTTCTCAAAACTTCCCCTGAAAGGCAGCAACAGCATGAGAAATCACAAACAGGTGCTTTTCTCACTGCTGCTTTCCATTTCCACTCATAGTGCCAATGTTTATTTTCCTGTGAACAGAGTAAAAAAATTACAGGCAGAGCCAGGAAATGTAAAACAAATTTTTCCTAGGAAGGTTACTGTGCAATATCATGTATCATGCACACTATGTGTGTGCGTAATAGATGTAAGTCATTCCCCCACTCCAAATTAACCCATAATGGTTTGTTTATTAAAAGCTGTGAGAGGAAAAATTAAATTCAAACATTCTAACTAAGCTGGTTAATCACTGGAAATAAAGCCTCTGTCTCTGATCTTTCAAAGAATGAATATGGAAGAAATTAAATAAATTAAAGAGCTACTCATATGGCTTGGTGTTCTGTGCTTTACTTTGCATAAAGAGCTAATACTCACTGAGCCTTGAAATTAAAGCCTCTGTGTTTCCTTAGAATAAAGCAAGTATTTTCCAAACTGCCTTCCTAGAGATTTCCTGGGCATCTTAGCATAGGTTCCTCTAGAAGCACATCCTGACATAGAGTATATACAAGTGCAAAGATCCTGTACATCATAGTTTTGGTACTTCTCTGATCATTACTCTAAGATAAATTCCTACTGGAATTATCAGGTCAAAGTGTATTACCATTTTAAATGCTTTTTATAGTTATTCTCCCAAAAGATTATATAAATTCCCTCTCATCCATGAAGTTTAAGTATACCTGTTTCTCATCCTACTTCAATGGCTTGATTACCATTAAATAGTATTTTATATTTGGGCTCAGAAATTTCGACTTCTTTATCCTGAAACCAGATAAATATGCAATAATGTTTTCCTCTTTCTCTTTTGTGCTTTCATTTTTTACTTTTTTAAAACTTCTCTGATAAAAAAAATTATTTGCACAGGAAGCTGAGGCAAGAGGATCACTGCAAGTCTGTGGCCAGCCTCAGCTACATAGTGAGTTCAAGACGAGCCCGGACTACATACTGAGACCCTCTCTCAAAAAACAAACAAAAAAAATTATTTCATGTGCAATGGTGTTCTTAACATCAATAAGAACCTCTATTCATTTCCTCACTGGTTTGAAAGACTTCTTCCCCTTGGATCTTTTTCTAGTTTTCATTATAGTTATTTTTAGTGTCATTGATTTTTGTGCAAAAGCCATCCTATATTAATTATTCAGAATTCAAAATATCTGGCAGTGAAGACTCATCATCCCTCTCAGTCTTCTTTCAGGAAAAAATAAAATAAAGCCATAGAAAAATGAAATTATAGAACAATACTATAACATTACTTACCATATTTGTTACTATTAACAAATGTTAACATCTTAGCACAGTTGCCTCAGAGAGAGAGATAAAATATAACAGATTGATCCAAAGTCCCCTATGGGTTCTAGCCCAACTGCTTTCCCCACAACTTATGAGTAGCCATGAACATGAATATAACATGAAATCTTCCCGTATATGCTTTAAAGGTTTATCTTAATATATAGCTGCCCATAAATAAAATATAGGATTGATTTCTAAGATTATATTTATATGATGTTCTTTCAGAGAAATTTTAGAATCATCTTGTCAAAATCCCCATAGACTTTTTTTTTTATTGGAGATACATTTAAAGGGATAGAGAAGTAACATCTTTATACTATTAGTCTTTACCTCTAGGGACGAAGTCTGTTTTTCATTTATTCAAGCCTCCATTATATTATGCCCTTTGTAAAACATTACTTCTTACAAGTCCTGCACATCTTCCTAAGTTATTTCTAGGTAATTGATGATTTGTGTTGATATTGAGAATTAGTTTTCATTTTTGCATTATAATTTCAAACTCATTATTACTGAGATAAAAGAAAACAGCTAACTTTTAAAATATGTATGTTTTTAACTGGCCATATCATTGGATTCTTATTATATCTATGACTGCAATTTTTCAGTTGACTCTTTTGTGTTTTCTTGGTAGACAATTACGCATTATGTATAACACCAAAGATTTGCAAATAATGATGATTCAGTCTGCTCTTTACTGGCATGCGCCATTTCTTATTCTTCTCAGTGAATTACCTAGGACTTCTGGAACATTAAATTACAATAGCATTAGAAGGCAGGCTCATCTAATTCCTGATCTTAAGAAGAGTACTATACCTCCAATATTTCTCATTCATAGTGTTGACTGTTGAGATAGAATCTATTGTTGTTTTTTTCTTTTAGAATAATGAAGATCCGCCCCCCCAAATCTGCATGTATTTGCCAAGACAGACTTTTAAAAAAAAAAATTGGAACTCACTATATGGTTTTTGTAATATTTTGCAAAATTGAAAATGCTACCATCTCCACTACTCTCTTTGGTTATTTGTTTTGGAAGGAGGATTAGGCTGGTGCTGGTTCTGGCTTTGAGATTAGTTAATGGTTTTATTTGGATCATGGTTGCTTTGGTCTTCTCTGACACTTATTTTTCTTCCTGTAAAAGAAGGAGTGATAAGATTATTCCCCAAAGTCTATTTCAATTTGATAAGATTTTAAGCCCTATTTTAATGAAAACTTAATTTCTGTAAACGAAGTCAGCTATACCTAATTAACAGCCAGGGCTGAAAAAGGTTAAAATCTTGGGCTGAGTTCACAGAGAAATGAACTGATAACAGTTTAAGATAGACCATGAAACCTTCATGAAGTTCATGGCTAAAATCTTTAAAATAATAACTACCACCTATTGACCATTTGTGATGTCCCTGGAATAGTGTTTCACTTACAATACAACCTCTTATTGTTAATAACAACTATGAAATCAGCAAAATCTGTTTTCTCATTTTGTAGATAAGGAAACTGAAGCCTAGTGGGTGAGAACTCTGTACATTAGATCACTCCAATCCAGTCCAGCTTCCTCCTGCCTGTACTGCATATCCCTAAGTCCATATATCTCAGACTCCCACGGAGACAGGATTCTGAATGTGACTCAGGTTATACCAATCAGGTGCATTGGCCAGAGATGTAAATTTGCTTTTTGTTTGCTTTAGATAGGATCTCACCATGTGGCCCAGGCTGGTCTTGAACTCCTGGCTCAAGTGATCTTCCTGCCTCAGCCTCTTGAGCAAATGGCCCTACAAGCACACACCATCCTGCCCAGATGAGATACAGGATTTAGAAATGAAACTAGGCAGGGACAGAGCAACACACATGACAGTTTTATGGGAGTGGTTCTGGGAGTGGTTTCCTGATTCCCATATCTCAGTCAAGGCAAGGGAGTTTGGACCAGTGGCTAGGACAGAAGTTTCTTGAGTGCCCAGAAAGGGACACAGAAAGCAGTCCCCTGTGTGCACCTTTCTGGTAGCCACTTCTAGAGGTCAGTGTGGGCCTGACCTTCCAGCCCATCTAACAATGTTGTAAGGATCAAGCTCCCTCATCGAATCCCTTTTGGCTTAAACCAGCTACAATGGTTCCTGTAACTGCACTCGAACTCAGGTCCTTATGAGAGATGCTGCCTTCCTTCTCTCGTGGGCTATCTTCAACTAAATAGGAGACACACACAGTACAGTGTATCAAGCATCAGCTTTGGACAAGATGACCTGGATTCTAGTCCTACCTCTAATCAGCTGTGTGACTCTGGCAAGTTCCTTTACCTTTCTGGGGTTCAGTTTTTAACTTTGACATAAGGGAATACAGCGTCTCTTCTGTCCCTGACATTCTATGATTATCATTGGCCTAGAAGAAAATTAAACACCCACTATGCAGATTGCCTGTTCAGCAGCTCATGGTCAATCACTAACAGATCTGGAAGTAGCAAGGCTATACCCAAGTCTTGGCTCTTCCTTGGTTAACCTACTTGGCAAGATGCTCTGTGGCGGGCACAGAAACCAGACCCCTCCCCAGAGAGAGACTTGAACCATTGAAGCATCACGTGGGGTTGGAGGTGGGGAACACCAGTGGGGCCCAGCCCTCCTAGGAAGGTGCTAAGAAGGCAGTCTGGGAGTTACAGAGCCTGTGGCTGCTAGAGATCAAGACAAGCAAGAGGTCAGGAAACTGGAAAATCGGGACAGGACCACAGCGAATTTAGGGGCAGAGGTCAGTCCTGAGTCAGGAGGTTATGGTGGAATCTACCCTTCCTAAACTGTGGCCCCAGCCAGGAGACAAGGAGGTGGGAGGGCTTGAAGGCTTTGTGGTGGAGACAACAACTTCAGAGGCCAGTTCACCAGGTAAGATAAGACTCATCCACCTGCACCTGCTCAGACCCAAAACTCAGCACTAGGATTGGAGGGGTTTGCCAGAGTGGAGAAACATACAGTGATGGTTGCTGACTCCAATGAGTTAAGATACCAAGGTCACCACACAGAACCAACTGGTCTCAGAACAGATGTTTCCAGCCCCAGGGATAAATAGGAAGTGCTTTCAGAAGTGGGCAAATCAACTGTGTCTGTGAGGACAGTTCTGGATGAAATCCTGAAGTGCAGGTGGATTCTGGCAAGTCCTCTGGGGGAGGATGAGGGGAGAGAGGGGGCTGGGTGGTATAGCACACTGGCCTCGGGACAGTGGTCTTCTAGGGCCCAGGACCCTCCGAGAGGCCCTTGTGCACAGTCCTTGTGGTCTGCTGCCTCTGGGCCAGCAATCCTTCTCCATAACTTCCAGGCCTCACCACCTCTAAATATAGTACCAACCTTTCTAAATGGGCTTTCCAGTTAGTGCTCTTCATCAAGGAAGCTAAGAAGTATTTTCATAATTCAATACAAATGGCTGAAATAATATAATGTGTTTCCCTCCCCAGAGGTTAGTATAAGCAAAATAGCAATGATAAATTTATATGGTGTGATCAAAATATAGTGAATGCTTAAATTATTACAGTAAAGGATATGTTGCCATTTATCTTCCTCAAAATACCCCCCCCCACTTCAAACACACTTGTCCCACTGTGCCACTTTCTGAAGAAGTTCTGAAAGTCCTCTTTTGTGGGTGTCTTTATGAGGTATGATTAAAAAATACAGTGAATAGTGCTGCCAAGTGATAATTCAACAGAAAGGGGACCTTGTGGAAACCTAACAATGTGTCTTCATCACCAGATCTGGCACCATGCAACTTCTGGCTCTTCCTCAAAGTCAAAATAACTGTGAAAGTTAAATGGTTTGAATTGACTCAGGACATGGAGGCACCCACGACAGTGCAACTAGAGACACCCACGAAAGAGGACTTTCAGAACTACTCCAGAAAGTGGCAAGAACAATGTCAGAAGTGTGGGTGTATATTTTGAGAGGGATTAATAGCAATGTGCCTTTTACTGTAATAAATTTATTTTAACTTAAACATTCACCATATTTTTCTATTATACCTTGTAGATCTTCAGGTAAATGTTGTGGAATAAGAATAGGATTTCTGGAATGTTATACTGAGAGATATACGGTTCTTAGTTCTCAGTGTTTCTCATTGTTCCCAAATGTCGTATCTGTAAATTTCCCTGCTCAGTAAAATATATTGCAACCCTAAAACAAATGGTTGGCAAAGATTTCATAGTCATCTGTAGACATACACAGAGTGACAAAAATTGGATTCACCCAATGGGAGTCTCCTACTGAAGTTGAACATGGTGAAGCTCTGCCATCTTGATTTCACCTTTCATACTCTAAATCTGCGTCCTTTCTAAAGTCTACATAGTATCAGGTTTTGCATTTTTGTCCTTTTGCAGATTTCACTGTTTAAACTGGCCCCAAGGGCAGTGCTACACGCTGCCTGATGTTCTCAAGTACAAGAAGGCTGCGGTGTGCCTTGTGAAGCAAAGGCAGAATACAGGAGTTAGGTCATCTTGGCTCCAGCATGCACAACAGTGCTGGTAGTCATGGGCTCAGAGTCAATGAATGAACAATGTATTGCAAATGAAGTGTCCTTAAACAGAAACATACATAAAACAAGGATTTGTGTTGAGAGATTGTGACCAAAGGCTCAAAGGAATCTAATCCTTTATTTCCCCAAGAACAACAGTTCTGTCTTGTCTTGTCTTATCTGTCTTCCTTCCTTCCTTTTCTCTCTCTCTCTCTCAAATTTTTTGTTTTGTTTTGTTTTGTTTTGTTTTGAGATACAGTCTTGCTAAGTCACTAAGTTGCTCAGGCTGTGCTCAAATTTGTGATTCTCCTACCTCAACCTCCCAGAGTGCTGAGATTACGTCGGAAGTACCATGCTCAATTCAGTATTTGCAGTGACTCTGTGGAACATAACTACCTGAAGAGCAAAAACAGATTGTACTTGGTGTGTTTCCAGACATTTTGCTCATCCTAACACTATTCCTAGGAAAGCTTTACAGGGGTCTCTTGCATGATTGCTGCAAACAATTACAGTAAAAATATTTAGGAAAATTTTTAACATCTTTGCTCATAGCCTTTTCATTGGTTCTCTTTGACAGGCCCTGAAGACGATGGCCCATTTTGGATTGGCTGTGCTATGCCAGGAAGAAAGACAAAGGCTGCTCCATAGTGATTCTGCCACAGCGTTCTGTCCCCCAAACAGATTCCGGATGCGAATGTCAGGCTCCTGCAAGGGCTTCCTAAGTGACGAACAGTCACTGAAACATTTTTCATCAGGTAGACAGAGGTTTTACCGGGGGGCCTCATGCACTCTAGCATATGACAGTGGTCGGACTAGGCCACCTAGTGTGGACTGTTTCTGTCCCTTGAAAAAATTACTCTGCCTGGAATTGGAGCCTGACAACAATCTGGCAAGATTAAATTCAAATGACACCAGGAGACAGAGGCCCCTGCAGCTGCCTGGCAAAGACTCTTCCTGACACCAAGAAGATACAGCCTGGATGAGGATTCTGTGTTTGTTCCCGGTGGTGATGCCAGAGAGGCCACTTCTCAAACTATGTTGTGAGGATTTGAGAAGCTCAGATGTTAGCTCAAAATTTTTCCTTCCTGTAGGGAAAGACAAGTCACAACGGCAATGCCTTATTTTTGTGTGTTTTTGTCAGTGAAGTCATAGAGAATTTTTTTTCTTTGCATTTAAATTCATGGGATTAAAAAAAAAAAAAAGTTTTTCCTCTCTTTCATTCCCTGCTCCCTGGGCTCTTAACTGCCATATATTCTGAGCACACAAGGACACATGTTTCTGACAGGAAAGATTTGAAAGGCTTCTCAGTGAGGCCTAGTGGCCCTTCCTTCCCAGCTCTGGGCAGCAGCTCCACAGAGCATCTGTGTGGCCAGGCCCAGGAGGAATTCGCCACTGGGGCCTGGGGTCACATGCCTTCCGGTTTTCTACTGAGAGACACGCTTTCTCACACTGGGGTCAAGAGTTAGGGCCTCACAAATGCACCCTTGAGAGGAGCTGCTAGAAATGTTTTCTTACTCAGAGTTCTTTTCTTTTCCCTTGAGACCCTGAGAGTTTGAACCTCAGACCTTTCAATCCCTCGACAGACGCTATAAACCACAAATGTGCTCCATGCTGAAAGGACGTGCAAGTGACCAACACTCTTGTCTGTCCCTCAGCCAGCTGCCCGAGGGGAGTGCACAGCAGGGAGGCTTCCTCTGCCTAGAAGCCAGCTCTGGACTGCTCTGGTGACAGGCCTTTTCTCAGCCCCATGGCCGTGAAAGGCATCCTCTGCCTGTGTGTAGGTGATCTGCTCGTTGGGCGTGCCCCAGGAAGCCAGTCTGGGAAGTCTCACTTGGCCATTGCTGAGGTGGAAAAGCTCAGCAGTTGGTACCCCGGGGAAACTGCAGGACCAGAGCCCCTACCAGACCAGGATGACCCTGGGCACAGCCACACTGTGCTTCACTCCAAAACCAACAGCTGTGGAGACATTTGGAATTTATCGCAGTACAGATTTTTTTCTTTCTGCTTAAAAAAATGTATTCATTGTTCTTGCAAACATATTTAGCATGTGTTAAAATGTGTGTGTGTGCGTGTTTGTGTATGTCAGGGTGGGATTCTCTTTAGTTTGGAAAAGAGCAAAACCTGAACATGCAGGAGGATAAGTGAAGGCAAGGATGAGCCAGGTGCTGGGCTAAGCAGGTGAGCACGTGTGCTGTCCACTGATGGCTGGTCCCTCCCCCTTTCCTGCATCCCTCACCTGCTAGCTCCAGACATGGTGGGTGACAGACATGGGGATGGCAAAGGGTAGCACGGTCTTGAGCAGGAGCCCCGAGCTCTGAGCTCCAGGGTGTCCCCCTCCACCCCCACCACCCAATTCACCTCTGCACCACCTGCAGCCTATTCTGCCTGTCACTCCAACTTGCCCCTCCCCCATAACATCTCTAAGGCTTGTGCTTCCCCTTGGAGCTGAGGAGCTTCCATCTGCAGGGGTCCTGGATGTCACAGGGGCTCCACAGTGCAGCTGGATCATGGAGAGTGGCAGTCTATGTGATGTGGTCCCTGGCTCCAGTGAGGAGACCCAGTTCTCTCTTAGGTCCTGCGCAGGCACCTCTAAGCCTCTACTTAACAAAATTTGTTTTCTTGCAAAATGCAAATGTCTGTTGGGTGTAGTGGTGCACATTTACAATCCTAGGTACTCAGGAGGATCCCAAGTTTTCAAGTTTGAGGACAGCTTGGGCAACTTAGAGAGATCATTTTTCAAAAAATTTTTAAAAGAGGAAGGGGCTGAGAGATTTTTTTCCCAGCAAAAAAAGAAAAAGCGGGGAGTGGGGGGGGGAACCCCCGCAAATGTCTTTAGGGTGACACAGTACTTTTAAAATTGTGACTTGATTGTGAATATGATCTTATTATCCAAACACCAAATGGACATACTTTACAAAGCAGTTTCCTATCTCTTTTTCATTCAATGAATTTTATTTTCTAGAAATGTTTTCTGTCAATACAAATCACATTTGCTATAATTTTAAACACACACACACACACACACACAAAAGTGTAAAAAGAAAATGTGACCCCTCCCAAACATCAACCCCTGCTATCTACTTTGCAGGAAATATAACCCTGGTTAGCAATGTTGCCCTACCAGGGGTTCCTCTGTGTGTGTGTGTGTGTGTGTGTGTGTGTGTTGTTGTTGTTGTTTTTAACAAAAATGGCATTCCACTTTATAAACTGCTGTGGTATTTGATTCTTTGTTGTTGTTGTTGTTGTTCAGTGCTGGGGGCTGAATCCAGGGGCTCTCACCACTGACTTTTAGATCCCCAGCCCTTTTTATTTTTTATTTTGAGACAAGGTCTTGCTAAGGTGCCCAGGTGAGATTCGGACATTCAATCTTCCTGCCTCAGCCTCCTTTGTTACTGGGATTGACTTTCTTTCAGCACTTGCATTAGAAACTTCTTCCCTGAAAGAACTTTTTTTTTGCTCTGTAAATAGTAAATAAAAGGTTTTCAAGACTTGTATTTCATTTTCTATACATTTAACAGATCACTTTCATTTGTTTTTTGTTTCTGGCCTCTATTAAGTATCATAAGATTCCAGAAGTTGGGGATTTTCTAGAGCAATGTACTCAGTATTACCCGCTGTGATTATGGGCATATTTTTCACCTGCCTTATCTAATACAGTAGCCACAAGTATTTGTGGATACTGAACCCTTGAAATATGATGACCAATCTGAATGATGAACTAAATATTTAATTTACTTAACTTTAATTAATTTAGATACCAACTTAAATAGCTACCAACTTAAATATGACCAGTGGCTACTGTATTGGATGGTGTATTTCTGGAAAATTTGGGATGAATCAATCACCTACTCCTAGAGGGGTTATAAAAACTTGGAACCCAGGTTTTTAACCTCCCAATTCTTTCCATTTGGTGGCTACGTAACATTAGAGAAGTTACTCAATCACTCTGAGCCTCAATTTGTTCATCTGCAAAATGAGGATGATAATAGAAATATCTCATTGGGTTGTTAAGAGGATTCAGTGACTTAATACCTATAAAGCAATTGAACTGGTGCTTAAACATATAGTAAGTGTTCAATAAATATTAGATACATAATTCAATTCTAAGAATAGGAATGGGAGGGAAGAAAAACAAATGTTGGGAATGGGGAAGGGAAGAGGCTAGAGAGAAGATGGCTGTTTTGAATGAAAAGATGTTCCATTCCCTCAGTAAAGGTGGGTCAGCTCTCACTCACCCTGGCCAGTCTTTCAAAGGTAAGAGAGGAAAAGGAGTGAGCAAGAGGTGTCCGTCTGCAAAGTTCACTCCACCACCTGGTCATGAAATCCCTCTCTCTCCAAGGGGCCTCTCTTTCCCTGCAAGGCTGCTCACAACCCCAGGTGAAGCTTGATCTTTACCTGGGGCAAGAAGGACAAAGGCCCTCTCAGAATAAGTCCCCCAGAGGCTGTGCGGCCCCCTAGGCCTCCAAAACAGCAGGCACAGTGTCCCTATCCCCAGAGCAGTCCCTGTCCTGCAGCTCTTTTAAAGCTCATTCCAGTAAATGGAAAGAAAAAGAAATCTGACTTTGTCACAGAAGCAAGATCCTTCTTCCGGAGGGACAGAGTCTGTACAGTGGGAATAAACTGATGAAACTTAACAGGTATTTTTCTCTCAGGTTGTTTCACTCCAGATTCATTCAGACCATGAGAACTGCACACACACACACACACACACACACACACACACACACACACCATGGCATCTGCATGTGAGATGCTGGGAATATGTTTCTCTGGCCACTGTCTCCATCCCGGCCAGCAAACACAGTTCATGAAGGAATGAACAGCAGGCAGTTGAACAAGTCCTTGAAATTCATACTCTAACATTCAGATCTCTGAACACTAAGCTTCCTCTAGTTACAAACAGCATTTCTGTCAGCGGGATTCACTGAACTACTGGTTTTGGGGCAGTGTGGATTGCAAAGAATGCCAAGAAATGCAACCTCGCCTTAGGGAAAAGCACTAACCCCAGAATGCCTGAGTTCACCTTCTGGTGTAAGCTTCAACTTTCCTTTTTTGCAAAACCAGAGAGAATCACTTCTCGGCCTTTTGGCTAAGATCAAGTGTAAAAAGAGGGAGAGACAGGATCCTTCAGACAAAGACATGACACACCACCCTGGGCTTTCTGGGCGAGGTGTCCCTCCCCACCAGTCGCCATTTTCCCTGTTGGCCAGGAGACCGCCAGGTGGCCCTTTTTTAAGAGTCATGGGATATTGTTGCTCTTGTCGCAGCTTCTGAAAGGGCAAGCTAAGCCCAGTGGCATGGCAGAAAGGTCCCCAGCAGTTGTCTTCTGCATGAGCCAAACCCATCCCTCCAGGCCCTAGCGACAGTTCCGATCACCTCAGTCGCTTTTGAGGGGGGATTTCCATTCACAAACCCCATTCAGAGGCTTTTTGGAAGCCTTCTGTCCTGGTGCAATGAAGCAGGCTGCCTCTTTTTCCACCAAATGTCCCAAAGGGAAATGACATTAACCAAGAATTTGGACAAACTTTTTAAGAAGAAGAAACAGTGTGAAAATTGCCCAGATCCTTGTTACTTACAGCATTTGAGAAGAAAACTGCAGGAAGTGGTAGATTCTCGACATAAAGGACATCATTTGCCTGCCTTATTATCTCATTTTTCAGTGGGGCCGACAGGACAGCTGCCTGTTATTACAGCGCACACCAGGAAGTGGTTGGCTGCCAAAGAGAAAGAACGGGAGAGGGATTAGCAGCCCCGCTCATGCCGCACAAATAGAATCCTTGCACCTGGTAGTCATGCAGTTAGATTTATCATCCTTATAGGGTATGTTACTTAAATCCCATTTATAAAGAAACAAAAACAACCCAAAAGGGGACCTTAATGTCATTGTAATTGTGATAAGTATTAGTAACCATTTTGCAGTTTTTAGTCTATATTAAATTAATTGGAGGTGGCTTTCATTTAATCACACTAATCTTTTATTTGGTTTCTGTAATGTTGGAAATTTATTATCTTATGTAGCAATTTGAAAATGTCCTTAAAAATGAAAGATCGATAACAGTTTAATCTTCCAGAAGCCTGCTGCGTCGGTTGTGTTGTGTAACAACAGAGATCTCTTTACAAGGTGGCAAGGAACCTACAGAAGTGGCGTTTCAAGGAAAGAAAGTAATTTCCTTCTTGGCTTAATTTTTCAGTGCAAGAAGGAGCATGGAGCTCCTCACGCTGCTTCGGGATATCAGGAGTCTGTACAAAGAGAGGCCCTAATGGCTGCCTTCTTCCCACCAAACGGGAATTTGCTTCCCTCTGGGAAGAATGTAACACGAGGAAAATGTGAGGGCTGAGGTGTCACGTAGTGGCAGAGTGTTTTCATACCACATGTGAGGCCCTGGATTCAATTTCCGGTACCGCAAGAAAAGAAAAGGAGTAAATCCTCAATACTCTGAAACCTGCCTCAGTACCAATGATCACGGATGCTCTAAGAGGGATCTTTCCATCAATACAAAAGAAAACTCAGGTGGACATGATGACACAAACTTGTAATCTCAGCACTCTGGGAGGCTGAGGCAGGAGGATCACAAGTTTCCAGCCCAGCCTGGACAACTTAGCAACTTAGTGAGACTCTGTCTCAGAATGAATGAATGGGGATGTAGCTCAGTACAATGGCCCTGGCTTCCATCCCTAGGCTAGAAAAGAGAAAACAAAAGCAAACTATTTGTCTTAGTTACTTTTCTCATTGCTGAGACAATATACCCAACACTCAAAATTAAAGGAGGAAAGGTTTATTTAGCTCACAATTTGTAGAAGTTTCAGTCCATGGTCCGCTGTCTCTAAGGCCGGGTGGCATGGCAGAGGGACATCGCAGAGGAGAAATACTTCATGGCTGGCAAAGGACAGCAAAAGCAAACATTTAACAATAGCAGCTTCTTTCTGCCCCTTTTATATTCTACCTAGGCTACCCGGCTCAGGGCGGGTGCCAAACCAATCAGTGGACTAATTTAGTAATCACACACCCTTAATCCCAGAATCATACACTCTAGATCCATCCACCTCTGAAAAAGCCTCACCTATAACTGCATGAGGTTTTGATCTAGACACAAGCCATAACACTCTTCACGGAGCCTTGTTGCTTAAAGCACTAGGAACTAGGATGGATGGTTGTGGGTGTAGCTCAATAGTTGAGAACTTGCCTAGTATATGAGGCCTTGGGTTTGATCTCTAGCACTGAAAAAAAAACAACTAGGGTGGAGCCTTAAGATTGTTAACTCTTCATTCCTCTTTGGCATCCTACCTTGTAAGATTGTTTCTTTCAGTTACTAAGAGAGATAATGTATATATAGTGCTTAACATAATGTGTGGCGTATAGTAAGTGCTTAACAAATACTATGTATCACTATTTTTAATAATGTTGTTAGTAATAATATTATCAGTCAGCTGAATAATCTGAGATCTATTCCAGTTAAATTCTAGAATTCTTACTCCTTTAATATAGGTAATTAAGAATAGACCTTACTCTTAATAAAATAAGCACGTATTTAATAACACATCATGGCCATGCAGTTAGTTCATCCTACATTTGAAATTTCAAGTGGGACAAAATGACAGAACTTGAAACAAATGGAAAATATACCTTTCTATAAACATTTCTAATGTAATTAATGGTTATTACAGCTCATTTCTTTGATCACAATTTTTTTGAGCACTTAGAATGTACCAGTTGCTCTGGAAAGTATCCCAGAGGAATACAAGGAGGAATAAAACACAGGCTTTCCTCTAAGGTATTCTGGGGTAGGAGTAAAAAAAGCATACACTAACTGCAGCATTATATACTGTAACCAAGTACAGTCCACCCTCTCTGTCTGCAGGTTCTGAATCCTCAGATTCAGCCACCCATGGATGGAAAGCATTTAAGAAAATATTGCATCTGGCTAGACATGTACAGACAGTTTTTCTTGCCACAATTGCCTACAGGGTACAATATAACAAACATTTGCTTCATATTCCATTGTATTGCTAGCATTTGCATTTTATTAGGTATTAGAAGTCACACAGATGATTTACATATATGGAGAGATGTGTATAGGTTATAGACAAATGCTACAGCATATCTTATAAGGGACTTGAACACCCTCAGATTTTGATAATTTGGGGGGTCCTGGAACCAACCCCTTTGTCACTGAGGGATGACTCTTTTGAAAGAGAAAAACTTCAGGAAGAAGGAAAGGGAACATCACCAGAGCTAAACCTTGCACCCAGCATCTGGGTTGAGAAGCAAACCTCAAGAGCTCTCCTACCTGCATATTGAATTATGAAAAATATTTACTATGTATCTGGGCTTCCTTCTCTGCTTGGCTCAAATTGTTCACAAAGGTGGGGAGACAGCAGGCTTGTCAACATCAAGCATCATAGAATAGCATGACGGTGACTCCCATTATTCCACTAGCTAGATTTATCAGTCCTCATGGAGAAAGCAAATTCCACAGTTGGTTGGTGGTGAATATTGTTTTCTTTTTTTAAACTCTCAGAAGCACCAGTGGAATTAAAGTCCTCCTTCCAAAAAACCGTGAAATGTCAGCAATCTGCAGAAAAGCCCAGTCTTCCTTAATCTCGGGCTGTATCCCTGCACATCCAGGCCATCAGAAAGGCAACCTTATGCCACAAGAAAATAGGCTTTTCAGAAGGCCAAGCATCATCTTCAAAACGGAATTTTCCAAACCATTTCCAATTTGTAATGTAGGATTTGGCTCTGGGTTCTTTGAGAGGGGAAATGAGCAAACTCATGTGATCCTAATTGACAACCAGACCAGCAAACAGGATGGGAGAACCTGGGGTGGGGGTGATCCGAAGTGATTTTCCTCTTCTGCCCTGGAAGGTTCTGAGGGTGATTCAGGTAGTAGCAGTGACTGGGAGGGAGCCCTACAGACTGTGGACCCCAACAGCACATGAATGAACCTCAAGGTTGTATCTTTGAAAGTCTTTGAGTGAGAGGTGAGTACAACACTTAAAAAAAAAAAAGTTCTTGGCTGTAAAATGCCTCTAAACTTACTAGACACTGGTAAGAATTTGAATTATTTACGTCAAGATGAGTTTTTCGGTGTCCCTAATGGGCACTTTAGAGCATATGTCCCTAACCTTTTAGGCACCAGGGACTAGTTTCATGGAAGTCAGTTTTCCATGGAGGGTGGAGGGTGGTTTCCAGATGATTCAGTGGTATTACATTTGTTGAGCACTTCATTTCTATTATCATTACATTGTGCACTTTTTTACATTAGATTCTCAGGCATGCACAGTTCACAGGTGAGAATCAAATGCCCAGGCTGATTACTGATGGCTGATTGGACAGAAGGCGGAGCTCAGGCCAATGAAAGAGACAGGAATCTTCCTTGCCTGGCACACCGCTCAACACAGCTGCTTCCCAGGCCTGCTCTAGAGCATAATTGAGCATAATTGAGACTATTTGCAGATCCCTTGGGTTTTTAAAACTTGCTATAAATTAGAGGAACAAATTTTAACTAATTCTAAATGCAGTTTTTCTTAAATCTCCAAGTTCAACATAGAAACTTTATTATTCTATTTATATGAGCAGTCAAGTTTACTGATCATTTTCCAGGGGATTCAAGTTCTGTCAAATAAAGCTGTGTAGGAATTAACTTCCCCTAAATGGACTGTTAACGTAGTTAATTAAATTCCATTACAAACTGCATTTTAACGTTTAATTTACTGGAAGTTGTTTAGCACTTCAAATGCTTTCAACAAGCAAGATGTTCTCAAATATTTACATGACTCTAGGCAATGAAACTATAGTAAATCTCAAGTTCACTTAAGCATTCCAAAAGGCTTTTGAAGATTTCTTTATACCTTTCAACTAGAAATTACAACATATACTCTTTAAATTGACAGCACAATTCTGTAGCAGGTCAAATCTTCCTTTACAAATATTTGAAATACCAAACAAACACACAATCCTCAGGATTATAAAAATCTCTTCCTGAATTTACACAAAAATGCTAAACCAATGGATTTGATGAGCATCACTACCTTCCTAACTCCAAATTAATATAATTAAAAGACTCATTAAGAAAATAGTTTTAAGCCAAGTGTGGTGGTACATGCCTGTAATCCCAGCATTTGTGAGGCTGAGGGAGGATAGCAGTAAGTTCGAGGCCAGCCTGGGCTACATAGTGAGTTCAAAGCCAGCCTAAACTACATAGGGAGACCCTGTCTCAAAAATCAAAACAAAACAACAACAAAGTTTTGAAGAACTATTAAGAAAATCACCCTAAGCCAGCCATAGTGGTACACACCTATAATCCTAGCATTCTGGGTGGCTGAGACAGGAGGATTTCATGTGCAAGCCCAGCATGGACAATTTAGTAACTCAGTGGGACCCTGTCTCCAAAAGGTGGTGGTAGTGGTGTGTGTGTGTGTGTGTGTGTGTCTGTGCATGCACACACATGCACTCCCATGCAATAGACCTGGGTCTCATTCCAAGAAGAAAGGAAGGGATGGAAGAGAGAGGAGGAAAAGAGGAAAGGAGAGAGGGGGGAGAGAGGAGGAGGGAAGGGAAAGGAAGGGAGAAGGGGAAAGGAAGGGGAGGGGGAAAAGAAAAAGCAAGAAAGAAAGGGAAAGGAGGAAAGTTCTAACCCAATAGAGGTCGCTACTTGAGTGGCACAAGCATGGTACTGACTGGAGAGTTTGGGGCTGAGGTATGAAACCTGTTACTCAGACTTCACAAACTTCACTTCAGACTGAATTCAATCAATGTGAGGTATAAGATATGATTCTCTCCATAATAACTTTTGACATAGTGAATGCTTTTTATCATTGCCATTGGCAACAGCACCTCCAAGTCCATGCCTTTTAGTGGGTATTGGCCTCTTCCAGTTCTGAGATCCATTTGTAGCCAGATCCTACCCTTACTTGCTTACTACTTTACTGACTAGAATAATTTCTTTATGCTTGATTCAAGTCTGAGTTCTTTCCTTATTCTTCCTCCCTGACACTATTAATACCTATACAACATTATACAAAATTCTGCCCATTTCTCTTCCCTTTGCCTGGTTCAACGTGACAGTTGATCAAACTGATGGACTCAAACTAGTTGGTCCTCTTCAAATGACAGGCTTTGTCTCACAAGATGAAGATATATATTCATATATGTTAACACATATTCTCCTCTTTTGGTCATTAGCTCCAACCCACAGCCTAGAGGTCTGATGTGTTTCTAAAAGACACAGTCAGCCGAGCAACCAAAGTGAAAGGGGCTCTTCATCACAAAGCCTTTGAACTTCAAGCACATCTAAGTAGCCGAGGATTTCATCCAAGGGCAGGTTCTTATGTAGTGCAAGACTTGGGTTTAAGACTCTTCATTTCTACTGCCAAAGGTAGTGGCACACATTTGTAACCCCAGAGCTCTGGAGGCTGAGGCAGGAGTATGGCCTTGAGTTTGAGGCCAGCCTATGTAATGAGACCCTTTCTCAAAACACACATGAAAGACTTTATTTCTAACAACATTTGTGGTGGTGTTGGTCCGTTGGTCCATTACTCCTTAGACTCACAGAGTAAAAAGGCTTTCCATCATTGATGCTGTATGAGCCATCCATCCATCTGGTGCCCAGTTTCTGTACCTTCTGTACACAGGCACCTACTGTTCACTCATGAAGGCCTTTCTCTTTGTCAATCACTGGTCCTCAGCTCATCCTTGGGTTCTCTGCTGATCTGACTGTCTGTCTCTCTCTCTCTCTCTCTCTTCCACAAATATACACCCTGTCCTCTCTCAGACACTATTCAAACCTTCCAGTGAGAATCTAATGCTTCTATCATTGAAAAACTATTCTCCATGCAGAACTAGAGAGAAGGCAAGAAAGAGGGAAAGGGCATACAAACTTTAGCAATGTATTCATAATGATAGTTGTCATTTATTGTGTGCTGAGTACATATTGGTCACAGGAGCTACCTATGTAATAAAATTCCATAAAAAGGGATCATTATTTACATTTTAAAGGAAGAGGAAATCGAGGCTCAGATAGGGTTGGTGGCTTGCTGCAGGACAAAGAGTGGCACACGGCAGTGTAGTAGACAGATGTCCACACATTGTGTGAAGGTCATGTCCTGGGCTGGCCTTGGGACTGGCCCTGACTGGTAGAGTGTATGGAAATGACTGCCATGTGTTGACCACAGGAGGGTTTTCAGCTGTGAACACTGTCGCCTAGTGAAGAAAGTCAGGCTCATCTCATTGTAGATGAGAGACCTCATGGAGAGGGAGGCCCAGTTATCTCCATGTTCCAGCCAAGCCAGACTAAGAAGCCAGTGAGGTCCCTCAGGTCACCCATAAGCTCATCTGCCAGGTGACTACAGACACCTGGGAGAGCCCAATGACTGCCATGAGCAGTGACAAGAAGTTCCCAACTGAGGCTAAACTCCTACCCAGGGAATCAGGAGCAAAAGAACAGCAATTATTTGGAGCCACACATTATGGGGTGATTTGTGATGAACAACCGGGTATTAAGACAAGATCTGAGTTCTAAGGCTGTCTGATGCCAAACCCCTTCTGAACCCAAAGCCATGATCTACCAAACCTTAACTTGCATTTACTCACTGACTTTGGTCCTGCTGGTTTCTAGCTCTAGGCCTGGTATAAGCCAAGAGTCACTTCTAATTTTTCTGTCCCACCACCCCATATTACCTTCTTTTTTGCTTTTTTTTTTTTTAGTACCAGGAATCGAACTCGGGACCTTGCACTTGCACAGCAGGTGCCAGAACCAGAGCTAAATCCCCGGCCCTTACCTTCTTTATCTTTGGGTTTCAGTTCCTTTCAAACAATGCTTTCTGTTCTTTAAGCTATCTTCCTGGCAATCTGTATGGGGGAGTTCATGTCCTGGTCCTTCTTTGGTCCACCTGCTGAGGGTTTATATTTTAGTGTGCTTTAGAAAAATCTCTTAAAGATTTTGTGAGAGTGCAGGGACTGGTTTAAGTAGCCTGGGTTTGGCCTGGGATTCTGCATTTCAAATAGACTCCAGGTAATACTGATAGGCGGGCATGAGGATCACACTCTGAGGAGCTGGGCTCCCATCTGCTGTGTAGCACAATGACTCCGATGCTTCTCCCATCACATAAATCATGATCAAAGCTACTAAGGATTTTGGACTCTGCAGCCAAAGAGAGAGGCTCGCTCTGTGCTTATGAATGACCTTCACACCTGCATAGGAGGACCTGTAAAGCATGTATTGCTATGAACTCACCTAGTTTAACCCAGGGAACAATGCAAAATAGAGGAAAGATGAAACATTTCATTTTCAAGACATTTATTCAATAATATAGCCAATATTTATTTACCAAGCACTTGTGTGATGAACACAATGTGAAAGTAGCAAGATAGAAAACCCCATGGAGCCTTGGACCCCTAATGAAATACCATTTTATAAAATGAAACTTTTTTCCACTAGTCATCAGTCTCCTAAACTCATTAGTAGAAGCTGGTGGGCTTTAACTATCATGCTGACTGATGTGCTGTGTTTGTAATGCTGCACTTTGAGTTGAGGACCAGTTTTTAGGCTTGAAGTGTGAGAGTGTGGTTGGTGTTTCAGTCTCTGTATGGAGGAGAATGATGTGTCTATAAAAGCACACACTTAGCCACCCAGCCCCTTTCCCAATAAACATCAGGAATATAAACAACCCTATAAATAGGTCAGATCAATTCTTATTTGATTGGACTCCCTGATGTCTTTGCTTAGAAGGTCCAGGTTTCCAAAAGAGGATAGCCTGACTGTATGACAACTTCTAGAGAGATGGTGGAGTGGTGAACAGCAGAGAAACAGCCTGCCTGGGATTTGGTGTCCAGACACTGGAATATAGCAACGTGTGAGAGAGAGAAGAAGGTGCGAAGTGGTCCTCAGGATCCAGCTAGGATCTGAAGCAAGAATCAAAGCCTACAGGGAGAACAAGTAGAGACTTCAACACAGAAGAAGGAGGTAGCAAGTGGCACTTTCTCCCTCAGCCTAACTCACTTCGAAAGAGGCGTGGCTCAAACCTGCAGAAGCACGGTGACTACTGGTAACCCCAGAGGCCTCCACAGAGAAACACACCAGTGGAATGGAGCAGTGGACGCAGCCAAGTGCAGTGGCTAGTGAGTTATCTGGGTTCAAACACCACCCAGAAGAGGACTATTGTCTGGTAGCCATCTTGGAGAAGGCCAACTGAGCTCAGAACTCAGAGCATCTGTGAACTGGCTTCATCTAGCAGCTCCCAGTGTCAGGATGAGGCAGAGCCAAGTTCAAGTCATCAGGAGGTCAAAGAGCCAAGTTCAAGGGGGTAGTAGGCACACCAAGTATTGCAGGCTTAAATTGGGTTCCAGCCTCACAGCCAGAAAGCAGCCCGAACTTCCATGGAACTAAGGGTTCAGGCTTGCTGGGATTATCTACTATGCCAACTGTAATTCTATGGCTGGCTAGCCACAAGCACTCATAGCAAGGTTCCTTACATCTATGATATGCTAGCTAGGAAGTTAATTCCTTTGCATCAAGTGAGAGGTTTGAAAGAAAGAATAGTGAGGAGCTTTGAACTCTCCCCAGATGGGTCTTTCTTGCTCATCAACGGTATTGCTGGCTATTCTCATTTGTTGTCAATGAAGACCAAAAAGTTCATTGGAAGCATGATTAACGGAAGGGTTTCAGTGTCCACATTCACTTCGGATAGAAGAAAATATACACCTATTCCGGGGATGGGGAAGTTTATGTTTGAGACGTGAACTCTAGGTGAAGTGCCTTAACAGATTTGTTGATGAAGGCAGTTTACGTGGATTAAGCATTGCTGAATCGAGAATGGACAGTATGTAGCATGTTGTTCTGGTTGTGGAGTGGTAAATATATACAATCAAGATTCTTGTCTCCAAGAAACAAACCCAAAGCCAATAAAAGCTTGGTTACTGGTTACTGGTGTTATATCCCTAGCCTTCAATCCTACTACAGAAATCTTGGCATTTGCTTCAGAAAAAATGAAAGAAGCAGTCAGATTGGTTCATCTTCCATCCTGTACAGTATTTTCTAACTTTCTAGTTGTGAAAAAGAAGAATATTTCTTATGTCCATTCCATGGATTTTTCTCCCAGAGGTGGCTATTTTGCTTTGGGTAATGAAAAAGGCAAGGCCCTGATGTACAGGTTGCACCATTATGCAGACTTCTAAAGGGATTATGTGAAATCCAGTTGAACCACAGAGGAAGCCTGTCCTAGTATTTCTTTTCAGAAACTCTATGGACTATGTGATGATGTGTGGATAATGATTTGTAAGCCAGCTGTGCTTAAATTAACAGAACTGTCAATAAGCACATGGTAGCTTTTGTTTGAAAAAAAAATAATCAACAGGGATCTGGGCTTGATCTGCCCACTTTATCTACTAATGGCAACAGAGACACACCCTGAGGTGAACATTTTTTTCTTTTCTTGTTTTGTTTCCTTTTTTCTTGATTGTTCTTGTTTTTATATGAAGGTGAACATCATTTCTAGTTTTCTTTTTTCATTAAGTTTATTGGTACATTTTAGACATACATAATGATCACATTCATCATAGGGAATTTATACCTCTACATGATATATCTTGATTCTTTGGTTGCTGTTCAGTTCTAGTCTTTTTAAAAAATTTTTCCTTGTCTTTTTCCCCGCTCTCTTCTTCACCAGTTTCCCGTAGTTCCTGTAATCTTCCTTTGTCCTCCAGCCCTGCTTCTAATTTCTTCCTCCCCTTCCATTTCTCTATTTTTCCCCCAGCCCCTGTTAAATCTTCTCCCCTGAGGGTAAAATTGCCATATTGAGGGCATATTTACTGTATACAATTTTCTGGTTGGTTTTAGATTTTGTCATATAAGCACAAATCTAGTTCATATGGTTAAAGGTGGCAAATTAATAGTTACCACAGTTTGTCATATTTTATGTTGCATTTGATGCTACTGTTATAGCTGATTGTACTATTTTAGCCAATAGAACAACATAATTGTTCTAATCAGTCATTCTTCCTGGTATTCCAAGACTGAGATTGCTAAGAGTCATAAACAATAGTATAAGCCAATGTCAAAGAATCAGGTGCTAGGCCAAATAGGCAACAAACTCTTATTGCCAATAAACTGAAGAGGTAGGATCTTGCAACAGAGTCAAAACCCAAAAGCCAGCTACACCTGCAAGACACCTCTGAGAAGCAGTCATTTCCTAAGAGTTCTAAATGCTAGTAATAAAGCTACCTATGATAAGCAATTTACAAGCATCAAGTCAGGAATTAAGCCAAAAAAAGAAAAATAAGAAGACACTTAAGCAAGATGGAATCCCAGACTTCCAGCTCACTAAAGGGAAACCCAAGGCACAATGAGATGGAACAATTTGAAAGCCACCCACCTGGACTCTCTGAAATGGTAACAGCAGAAGTAACAAAGCAGATGAATTAGGCTCTAGAAAAAAATCATATCAAAAATAATCTCAGATAACTACAGAGATAGTAACCACATTAAAAGACATGGTTAATAACTCTAGAGTGGATAGATTTCTTTTGTTTCCAAAATTCTTTGATAAGCTTAATGCCCACCAATTTTAAAACACAGTAGCTTACATTGACCCAAGGTAAAAAGGCTTTCAAACACAAACAGTGTGCACTAATTTGAAAAAATACAAAGACCAGATAGGTTTTTCTTTTTCTGGCATGATTTTTCTTGTAATTTCTGTATTTGAGTGGTAATTTGGAAGTTAAGTGGTGTCTGATAGCTTAACATGGCTTCTCACAGCAGGGAAACACTAATGGTGGGGGTTTCTATTTAAAAGGAACCAGATAAAGAAACAGGATATCCTAAACAATTCTATAGGAGGGGAGACAGATTTTTTTAAAAGATTTAAGGAGAAAAAGGGGAGGGGAGCTTCCTGGGCATGCCACCATTTGCAAGGTCACAGGGAACACCTCAACAAATACCATATCTTTTTTTCTCAGTTGGTACTGTGTAATTGTTTGGTACATACATGTATCGAGGCTTGGAGTGGGTTTCTGCTCAGGAAAGAAACCTTTCTCAGATACCTCACCATACCTCCTTCCTATGATCTTCACCAGGCAACTGCATTGAGTCCCAGTACCTTTTGTATTCAAAATATCAAGCTACCGGGTCTATCTTGCCCCAATTTTGGCTTAACTGGTCCAGCCTTGGGAGAATAAAGGACTTGGGTCCACTGGCAACAATCAGGTCTTGTTCATAAGCTGGAGGGCCCATTCCCTCTCTTCGTAGATAGCAAATGAGCTGATCTTGTATTCATGTGGTTGATTAAATTTTTGTGAAATGTCCACTTCGGGCTCCCTGTCTTCCTGGAACTGCAGATTCAACAGCCTTTGTTTTAAGTCCCAGAGATCTGTATCACTTTCGTTTCACATTCTGATTCACTGATAATTGACTCATCTGTTAATTATTAGTACACCCCATCTGGCTTTCTACAAAGCATCTTTCTCTTCATCACTGGCTTTTAGAGTCTTTGAGAGGCCTCTGAAACTATTTGCAAAGTGACAGAACTTTCTACAGGTGGGTACTGCAGTTGCACAGGAAGAGCACGTTGCTTCCCTGGGCTACTGAAGCTTTACTGTAGGGATCATACTGGATAGACCGAGCTTTTCTCTTGAGGTCTCCCTTACCCTAACCTGCACAGATATTGGCAAAAGCTGTGGCAGCTGCTAACATTCTTTCTTTTGGATCAATATTGGACCATTTTTGTCTATCAGGTTCTGTGAGTTGCTCCATTGCTTCCCCAACACTATAAGACTGGGTTTTTTCTGCCACCAAATCAAAACTGCTTAATATAAGAAAGTCTTGTCTCCAGGTTCTACTTCCAATGTGAAATACAAACACTGATAGTATTTCTTCAGTTAGGCTAGCTTCTATCGTACC